AGAGGTGTTAAGGTGCACATTGAATGTGAACTACCTTCTGTTTTCAGCTGAAGATGCAGAGCCAAAGACAGGGAATGTAAACAGACAGTGAATATGAAATTGTAGCTCGGTAGGGAAAGGAGTTCTGTGAGCAACTCAATTTCTTCCTCTGAATTGTACCCAGAATAGCGCTGACTCCTATTTGCATAGACTGTTCAGAATGCAGACTTTTAATTCATTGTCAGATAAAATACAAAGACCTGAAGTCTGAGTGACTTCGTGTCTGGAGTTTCCAATCTGGGGTTACAGACTGTCACCATGTAATGACAGCATTATTTGAAGCTAATACTGTAATTAATTTCTTACCACTCTACTCAGCCAATATTAACAATGAACCATACTGTTATCTGGCACACCTTAGCAGAGAGTTCTTGTAGCAAAAGAACCCATAACCGTGTCTGACAGTCTGTCCAACTGGGAGAATTGGATGTCTAGCAAGGGAATATTTCAGGGATGGACATAATATGGTTTATGCTTGCAAGTTGTGCTCAGCCAGAGAGAAAGCTAGTCTCCTGATGTTAATAGTCTGGCTTTTTCCAGTATAGCTGTTCACAAAATAATTTAGAGAGTGAGGCATGCTACAAAGTAATATTGATGTACATTATGAACAAACTCTGTATGTATAAAGAAATGCCAACCTGAAGATGCAATCTTTTGTTGGTGGGGAAATAATAAACTATTTATGATTTTCTTATGACGTTTCACTGACATATGGTGCTTCTAACCCAGTGACAAATTAATTGACTTGGTTTAAAAAGAAATGGATGCAGCTTAACGAAGAAGGACAGGATATGTATCACAAGGCAGCTGGTTCTGCCACTGCTGGCTTATGGAGACAATATACATGGGACAGCTAATGAGTCTCTCTGTTGCATAAGATAGATTCTCTTTATAATAGAATTGCACGCTTTGTCTCTAAATGGGGTTATTATACACACCATTGCACAATGTTTGAAGAGCTTGGTTGGCCCTTGTAGAGGGTTAGGAGAGAAATAAATTGGAAAACAATCGTACTTAAGACCTTCAATCCATCAAACACTCCATATTTATCTAAATTACCAGCATGCTCTCCCAAAATACAAATCCGTATGATACACACAGCTAGAATGTTAATGCTGACCAGCCTTCACTCTGCTTTCATCAGTTAGGTTTTCCATTGTAAACACAGACCAAAATTCATGCACGTTGAAGCCTGGTAATGCATTTTAGCCAGTACCCCCCACTCCTTTTCCCTCTGCTCTTCCTAGTTCCACTCTCTTGGTCCCTGAAGTTTCATTTGGGATTCTCTCCACCCACCATGAACACACATGCATCACTTGGCCTGGGTTATTTAACTCTTAGAACTTTTCGACTTTGAATACGCCAACAGTTATAATGGTAATTCACTCTGCTTCTTCAGTTTTCTACACACTTATGGGTTCTCACTGTTCAGTCACTGAGTTATTTCTTTAGAATAAATCCATTTCAATTCCTTTTGCAGCCTTGAAAAAACCCCAGGAAGTGGTGGTAGGAGAAGGCAGGATAAATGGCAGCATCATTCACTCTGTATGTGAAGATTACACACCTATTAGAGGGTGTGGGCAGAGCCCATTCAGCTGGTGTAGGTCCAGAGAGCAGGGAGCTGAGTCAGGCTCTTACCTCTATGTGCTCTAACTTGGCTCTGAACCTGATTTCACCTTCTGGCTCCATTCGTCTACTGATAGTATCATGTAGCCCTTAGGAATTATGCAGCATGATTTCATCCAAATTCTTTCAGCGTTATAACATATCTTGAAGCCCCACAGGAGGTGTCACATGGAAAAAGTGATTCATGAGTATATCATGAGTAGATTTTTGATTTATCACACTTTGGTCTTAAGGATACACCATTCATTCCTGTTGACCTTGGGATGCTCACTTAGGAGACTAGAGAACAATATTTGCTTCTTCCAGCCTTTCTCCTCTGTGTCTCTGTCCTCCCTGCCAAGAGCAGTTGAAAAGTGTTACACCTGGGAAACATTCTAAGGTTCTTGGAGTAAGACTATCTTTTCAGTTTAAGATGCTATTATATCCCAAACCAAAGGAGGATTGCTTCCTCCTTGTCATTGTGGGGTTCTTTTCAAGTCTACCTGTAATTTGGTATAGAGGAAGGGGAGCTGAAACAAATGGACGAAACAGTTTCATGGGCTTCTCCACATATTTATTACCCTCTCCAAATTGAATCTTGAAGCTTTGTCAGAAGTGTTATTTTTCCAACAGAACACACATTAAGTGGCTATAACAAATAAACTCACCTCCTGACATCTTTCCCATTGCTTGCTACATCCATTTACTGGGAAGATTATATTGTAAGGTGTGATGGGAGGTGTTGTTCAACAAAGGAAAATCACCACTTTGTAATTCTATTTGTTCAAGTTTTTTTCTTTTGCGTGGGATTTTGGATTTACTTGTCATTTCTGGAATTATTTTTTAAATGGTGAGTATTATATTTCGATACATGTTTCTCCAGAATTGATTCCATCCAACAATTGATTCCATCCAACTAATTCTTTTTTTTTTTTTAATGTTTATTTATTTGTTTATTTTTGAAGGAGAGAGAGATAGGGCATGAGTGGGGGAGGGGCAGAGAGAGAGGGAGACACAGAATCCATCTGAGCCAAAGTGGGATGCTTCACTGACTGAGCCACCCAGGTGCCCCACCATCCAACTAATTCTTTTTTTTTTTTTTTAATTTTTTTTCCAACATTTATTTATTTATTTGGGACAGAGAGAGACAGAGCATGAACAGGGGAGGGGCAGAGAGAGAGGGAGACACAGAATCGGAAACAGGCTCCAGGCTCCGAGCCATCAGCCCAGAGCCTGAGGCGGGGCTCGAACTCACGGACAGCGAGATCGTGACCTGGCTGAAGTCGGACGCTTAACCGACTGCGCCACCCAGGCGCCCCACCAACTAATTCTTAAGTTACATACGTTCTTTTGAAAGTAGAGTCATGTTTTTTTGTGAGCAAATTTCTATAATTTCGCCAGGGGGAAAGGAAAATCCAAAGCAAATGGTAACAATGAGTAGTTAATGAATTTTCTTTTACCGATTTTTTTTTAATGACTCTCATGTTCTCTGTCAAAAACAGATTATTTGATGGCAATGCTAAGAAGACTTACCTCCAGGTAGAAATTAGTTTCCATTTGCCTGGATGTGTCATTTATTGAGAGGGCTTTTACTTATATTTTTTTCCTTTAACACAATTACCTTAGGGAAATAAATATGTACAGAGACAAATGAGTAGACACACTAGTCTTTATCAATGTTTGTTCAAATTATTGCAGTTTAGAGAAATGGGAATCTGGAACTGAGATGCCTAGGAAATAAATCTTTCTTGTATGTAGTATCTTTAGTTCAAGAATCTGAAAACACATTACAAGCAATTAAACTTTAGGGTACAAATGGGAATTCTATATTGTTTGTTGGTTAAATTTAATTACAAAATTATGATTTGCTTTGGGTTCCTAGGAAGCCCGTTCTTTCTACAAATGTGCACATCCTAGTTTTCATGGCTTTTTACCTATTCTCTCAAGCCACTTCCAGGGTTCTGTTCTTCCAATGTTATATTGCTTAAAAGACTCAGTTTCCTTACTTCCTCCTTCTGATTTTTTTTCCAGCCTCTGTGACTTTTGCTCCCCAAATGTTCTTGCAACCTCTCTAAGGTCAGTGGTATCATCCTAACAGCCCTCCCCCAAGGCCCTTTTCAGTCCCTCTCAGGTTTCTTCTTTTAGCCCATCTGATATCATTGACCCATCAAATCATGCCTCCCTTTTTAAAGGCTGCCATTTCTTGCTTGGGGGACATTTGGTTACTCTCCTTTGTTCCTTTTCTCTGTGTCTTTCTTCCTTACCTCCCCTGATATGCTGGATTTCCCAAAGACCTCAAGTTCCTGGCCACCCCAGAAGCCATCCTTGGTTGGTGGAGCTGCTTTCATGGCTGTAGCCATAACCCACCACCAGTTCCAATTTGCTCTTCAGTTCAAACTCTGGGACCTCATTTTCAGCTCCTCTTGTTGATATCCCACTGTATCTCAAGCTCAATATATCCAGACCCCACTGATAATCAGGAGACAATGTGGGGACAATTCCCTCCCTCCTTCCCCACTCCTTCTTTCCTAGCCTCCCTGCCTCCATCACCATCACCCTCCAGCCCCCAAAGTATCCATGTTAGAAGCCTTGGAGTCTTCTTGGCCCTGCTCCTTCCTTCCTCACTTGTCTGATTTTTCACCAAATCCCACTGATTCTACTTCGGGAATGTCTTCATATCTACTTCCTTTCCAACCTAGTTGCCTTAGGTCCATCTGTTTTCATCTTCTGCTTATCCTGGTACACTGAGCAGTCTCTTCACTTTGTTCTCTGCCTTCCTGCTGGAGCTCTTCCTCTGAAGACAAACCCAGGCATGGCTTATCCTTTCCCAGACCATACAGCCTGGAACGTACCTGAGCCCAGCCTATTCTCTCCACTACTTCCTCCTGTGCACCTACTGAACTAGACTCACTTCTCCCCTGTCCTAACTCTGGACTTTGGCCTAAAAAGCTTTTCTTTTCTCCCTTCGCTTTGGGAAAACTACTACTCATTCTTCAAGCAACAAGTCAAATGACATTTTTGTGAAACCTTCCCCACTCCCTACTTTTACTGGCCACAGCACATGCCCCAATCTTGCATCATTGCCCTTGTCTCTTGGTCATGGGATCATAAGCTTAGGTAGCAGAGACTTTCCCTTCCTCATTTGCCTTATTATTTGTATCCAAATGCTGGGCACATCCTAAGCCCTTGACCAGGGCTGGCTTGATGCTCTCTTGATAGAATGTATGGTGGATGTACTCGGTGGGGCACTCTGAAGTCACCTAGGTGGCCCCACGTTCTCCTGACCGTGCTGGCAAAGGCTCTTTCCCTGTCTTGACGGGGCTGATTCTCTCCCTTATGGGTGTGCTCTCCACCAGGAAAAAGAGAAACTGTATGTGGAACTCAAGCACATCCTGGCACGGCAGCCCGGCCCCGAGGCTGCAGAACAGCTACAGATCTACCGTCACACGCTGCGGGAGAAGACCAAGCAGCTGAAAGTAAGTGGGAGCCTCAGTGCTTTCCTGGCCAGAGGACGGTCACCTGCTGGGGACCCGACAAGCCCTCAGTACAAGGAGCCCAGCTCCCAAATGCCACACTCCACGGAGGTTGGCCTGTTTTTTTTTTTTT